AGCCAAGGACAACAGTGAGGGGAAGAAAAGAATGTTCACTATTCAGCAAAAAAGGAAGAATCCAGCTGACTGGAAATGTATGTGCATTTCAGAAGGTTTTGTTGAAATAACATCAAGGTACTGGCTTTACCTCCACACCAGTAACGCCATTTCAAGCTGAAGTCAAGCTTTGGACATGTTTAAAATGAAACAATATAGATTTAACTTAGCCACAAAACCATTCCTGTGGGAAGACCTGGAAACAGCAAGGCCTGATTGCCAATAAACTTGCTCCTTGTACCCCTCATCCCTGTCCCTCCTGCGTTAATTTTGTCTCCTCCCCATACCACAGAAGACAGCCCCACAAAGCAAGAAGCAGGAGGTGCGGGTCGGCCAGTGAGTACCAGCTGCCAAAAGAAACAATAATGTTTGCTCAGTGGGGGCACGAGTTTAGTTCTCGCTCCTCTGGCATGCTGTACTAACAGATCTTGTAGGACCAGGAAAAGGGAGGTTTCTTGGCTACAGCTGGGGCAGGCTTTACAAAATGTTTTTAGTGATATGCTGTGCAGTGGAACCCTTCCATCCATCCTCTGTTGGCATAGCTCACCTGAATGACAAGTGGCATTTTGGAGCTCATAACAGAGGGGGGGACAGAGAGGAGGGGAAAGCACTTGAAACCAGTATGTCATTAACTACAGCAGTATGCCTAAAACTTTTTAGTTTTAATCACTGTTGCTTAATTCTGTGTTTTACTCATAGACTAAGTCCCCCTGGGGCCTATATCTGAGCTGAGAGAAATGACAGACCATGTGGCACTCAGAAGGAGAGAAAAGATAAGCAATATGGAAAATATCTTTAAGCAGCCAGTCACGCCTCCCTAGAGCTGCCAAAAAACAGCAGAAAGAAAACTCATGTTCTCCTGTTCCTAGCGAAAGCCTCAGTCACTTGAATGAGGAGACTCTCTAGGAGCTCTTGTTGCTAAATGGCCTGGGCTGTGCTTGCATCAAAAGGTTTTCAAATTGTGACCCATAAGCTACTATGGGTCTGCCAAGAGCCTGCTGTTCACATGGCTACTTCCACCTCCTCAATCACATCAGAACATGTTGAATGATTTCCTAATGGTCCTATGACATGTAAACAGTTGAAGAATTAACCCAGACATGTTACTGAAAGAGTGAAAAGAGGACTGTGTGAAATAAAGGGAAAGATGAGAGGGATCATAATAAATGCAAGAGGTAGGAGCTGTTGATGCTTTCCCCATAGACCTCAACCCCCCAAAAGCAGTGCACATACCTTCATCAGAGCTTCTACAGGGTTTTCTCCTAAAACTCTTTAGGCTGGCTCTGCCCTAATCCCATGCTCTGCCCTAACACACCTCATGTATCTCCTTTGCTGAAACTGCAGTGCTCTGTATCTACCTAGATTTTTCTTCTTTCCTGGGTTTTCTAAGCAACTTTCACTGCCTGTGAGAAGAGCTGAGTTACTTGATGTCTGGATCATTCACCTTCTCGCCTTCACTTTCGTTCTCTTCTGGAGAGTTTGAGATAAGGATATGACAAGCCCACATAAGGATTTTCACCTCTCCATCTGCTTGCAAAGAAAAGCAGATATCTGAGCCCACATACCTTCCTAGGTGTGGAAATTTGCTAACTGTTCATAACATGCCTAAGCTGCACTTTTTAAATTACTTTTCTTAAACAGCAGAAGTAGAGAAGGGGCCTGGACTCAAAGAGTACCAGCACAGCAGTCAGAAGAGATTATATCAAAACAGAGAGGCAGTGACAGCATGGAAAGCTTGAACTGATTTAAGCTGGTATAATATTTCTGGTGCCAGTAAGGTAGGTGTATATCTCTGGAGACAGACTAAGCTCATTCTTATGCACAGCCCCATGAACAGCAAACAATAAAGGCCACTGTTTACTGCCCTACAAATGTAGTAACTGGCACAGGTGATATAATGGATTTAGCTGATTTGGGAAACACTATGAGTTTAAATGGTTTTGCTATCAAATTCAAAAGGCATCTGCAGGTATAACTATGAAAGGCAATTCAATAAATTACTGGGGGTTTTTAACTCTCCAAAGTGAAAGAGAAGATGGATATAATTCAGAAATGTTTATTTGATTTAGTTGCTGTTTGGTTCACAGGGGACTTCCCACAGGGGCAATAAAAGCCAAGGCTGCCTTTTTTATAGTGCAAAGATTTTACACTGCAGTCCTCTCCAGTCTTTTTAAACGTGCCCCTCTCCTGTTTCAAATACTAAGAAATTCCATTCATCACAACTCAGAAATTTCAGAGATGGAAACGATCTATTAAGCCTTATGATCCACCTCCTGAGCAGCACAGAATTGCTCCCTATAGTGCATTTGGGGCTTTAATATTTTGTCCATCAAGTTTAGAAGGTCACATTACTGAAGTGTTTTAAATCACATCTCATGTTCAGGTAAACAAATACGTGGTTGTTGCATTTCAGTGAAATTGCCCTTGCAGATGTACCAGCAAAAGGAGTCTCCAGGAAAAATGGCAGGTGCCAGTGTGAGGGAGGGTTGTTTTGCTGTTAAATGTGATCAGTGCTGTGCACACTGGGCTTTCAACTACTCCTCTTTGGAGAATGGTCATTCTAATGCCAGTCATTAGCAATTTGCTGTTGGTCACTTGAGAACAGCATGTTACCTACAAATTGCTCCTATTAGTCACCAGTTCTTGTCTAAATAATTGGCTACGAGAGAGAGAGAATGCCTGTTTGAGGCAGGACTTAACAGGATGGCAGAAGTGTACGGGTACATTGTTATAAAAGACATACTTTACATATTTTGAGTGCCAAAAAATAGCGGAATGGGCTCAGATCTCTTTTCCACTGGGGTCAGACTGGAACTGCATCACTGAAGTCCAATGGAGCCGTTTGGAAAACCAAAGCTAATGTACATGAGATCAGTAACTGGCAGCAGTACAGCAGTACATTTGCTTGTCTCTGAAATGCAGTCATCTCTGGCATGAAACCTGGCAGCTGTTTCACATAAAATGATAAGGATGTGGACCAATATCCTTCAGGAAAGAAGGAAGAGAAAAATGAGAAAGAGCATGGAGGAGTGTGACTAGTTTGCGGCCTTTGAATTCTTGTCACCATCCTGTTTAGAGAAAACCCCTGCACAGTGTTGTTAGTTCAAGTACCTACTGTTTTGACAGGCTTTTATCTCACTGAAAGTAGGTGCTTTGGCGTGACAGAAAATGAAAGGACCAAAACCAAAATGCCTACTAAAAAGAAAAATGCTGTGGCAGAGAAAGCAGGTCACAGTCAGTAGCACATCAGCATTCAGCTATGCCATTCTCATCGGGAGCTTCAGTCTTCCCACCATACTATTGGAATACGTTCTACTTAGGTTACTGCCTGACTGCTCTTCTAGTCCTACTATACTTGGTTTGTGAAAATCTGGGATAGCATGGGGGTAAAAGGTTACAAATGTCCTCCAGTACAACTCAAGTCATAGTTGTAAGGAAATACCCAATTTTGTTGTTGATGGGGTACTTTAGAGATGCCAGAAAAAAAGGGCTTTGAGATCATACAAGTAACTCTGGAGCCTCTGAAAACAGAGTAGGACTTTAATGCAGGCATGTTTGACAGAGGTGCAGAGGGAAGCAGCAGGATCTTTGAATCCAAAGCTCCCAGTCTCTGAACTGATGTAGAGAGGACTGGATGACTATTCCCCAAGGTCTGGGTCGGAGCCTTAAGGAGGTACTGGGAAACCAGAGCTTAATTATTGCTGTCATGGGAGGAGGAAGCAGCAGCACTGGGACAATGGATAGGGATTGGAGTGACGGGATAGAGGAGCCAGCCTTACATAAGCTATTTCTCAAAGTTACACAATGGAGAATAGTAATAATACTAATGCACTTTTATAATGCATTCCTATGGAGATTTGAAATGCTTTGAAAAAGTAACTAAATATTATATGATAAGGTGGCAGACCAAGAACCCAGAGCAATGAGAAAGTAAGTGGATTCCTTGTAACTGTGAAGAGAATCAGAAGTGTGGTGGGGAAGAGAATTAAGGCCTGTGAGCCCTCTGAGCATGTGGTCACAGCCGCTCAAATGCCCAGGTCTGCTGGACAGGAGAAAAGCTGGCAGGTTAGGAAGAAATTTTCCTTAAATTAGGAAACAAATGAGAACAGAGACGCACATTTTTCAAGATGGGAAGAGATGTTTGGTGAAAACAACAGAGAAGCATTTTGGGTTCCCAGGATTTTATTACCTTTTCTAGTGTGAGCCAAAGGATCCTATCCAAGTTTCCAGAGATTATTCCTCACAGGAAAAGCAAAGCCCTAATAAAGGACATAGCAATTGCACAGTAAAAACAACAACAATAATAAAAAAGATGCCTTTTGTTTAATCACCTGGACAGACCCAGTGTGATGCAAATAAAATGTGGGACAACAAGCTCCAAGAGACAGGTCACATCTGCAGAAGCTTGTCAGGCCAACACAGCAAAGTGAGACAGAGTGAGGTGCTGGTGGGGAGCGAGGAAAGACAGCACTCCCAGTAACACATACCTGCCTATGGGCTCGTGGTCAAGCTGCTGTTTGTCATGAGTGCCAGTGACCCTCAGGAATTTTCTGCCCTCCCAAAAACTGTTTGAAACACATTCTGATTTCCCAGTGGTAACAAACCCACCACCTTTCCTTCCCATCTTCCTGGCCTGGAATAGTCTCTTTGGGGTTACCATGGGGGAAGCAACCCAACCTTGGGAGCAATCACTGCATGCAGAGATACCTACATCCTGTTGAAGGATGTACCCTGTGCCTTTGAGCACATCTGCCCCATGTAACAGGGAGTGCTGCCATCGCCCCGCTCACTTCTGGCCATAAACCATCATGTACTGAGGTCAACCCCTGGCTGATGCTGTGCTGGACTTATAGCTTGGTCCATTCCAGCCACTCTGCCTCCACTCATCACATACATCTGCCCACTTGCCCTCCCTGCCTGCATTTAGGTGGCTTCAGTACATGTGCAGGAACCTGAGGCAGCTCCTGTACCATGCATCTTCTCTCCTGCCTGCAGAACTGCTTTGAGCAGGACAGGTCATCCAGGAGAAGTTCTAGCTGGGGAGATCAGATTATGTGGTTCAGGACTTTCCCTGTAAGACAGAAATGGAGCCTCCATCAAAAACTCAGCTCTCGCTCCTCCTGTACTGAAATGAGGGCTTAACTGTGCAGCCAGATGTAACCATCCATAGGACTGGGTATTGTCCTGTCATATGAAATGCAGTACCTAATAAATAATGATCTGCATTTCTCCATCTGCAACATTTAGCAACCACTCGTGACTGCAGTGTTGTAACAGGTCAATGAGCAGCTGGATATTGCCCCCATTTCTGGACAGGGAGACCTAGATCACAGAGCCATTGCTGAAGATCACTTCCTTTTCCAGAAGGGGTGGTGCATGGTCTCCTCCCCTGTTATAATCCATCCATGGGCAATACTGCTGCCAGGAAGAGCTGTAATCTCCCTTGGGTATGGGGAACAGCATAATGAGCATCTCCAGAACACCCTCCCTGGCTCACTCTTATCCATGGGCTTACCCATTGGTTCGGGAAGGCTGTACAAGTGACTGCCAGGAAGAATTTGGCCATGATTACATGAAATCCAGTGCTGTTTGGTCAGTCTTGAGCTGACATTCTCCTCTGCTCTATCTCATTGCGGACAGGATCCGGCATTCTGGGCGTAAGCAAACACAGCAGCTGAGGCTGGCACGGAGGGGATGGAACCGGCTTCAGAAAAAGCATGTGGCTTTCCAAACATCTTGCAGTCCAAAGCAAAACCAGCAGTTCTGACATGCTGTGAGCAATAAACAATGAGCTTTGTCAGCATGTCTAGAGGAAACGATAATTCCCGGAGTGTGAATGATGAAATGTTAACCAAGATGGGGGCTTCGGATAGCATTGTGGTTAGGAAAGCATATGTGCATCAGTGTGGAGAAGCTGACACTAAGGCAAAAAGCCCTATGGCATTAAGATCTTCCAGGTTTCTCAACTTACTCCTCAATGATGTTTTCTCCTGTTCCCTGCATAAAGTGCAAGGCTTTGCTTATGCTGAAAGGGAGGTTTTGCACTATCGTAATCAGCACCTGAATCCACTCTTCTCGCCATATGGATTTTTATCACCTACTGCTCAGCACTGGCATTCAGCCCTCTGAGACATGCAGGACTCGGTGCAGGTCAATTTACTATTGTACATGCGTTACAAGATCGGTTATCCCTCTTTTCCATTCTTTGTACTAACAGGCAGCTCTGACTGCTCTGGTCCTTTCAGTGTAACATCAAGCCTAACGAAATCAGTAGGAGTGTTTTTATAGGTTACAATGACCTTAACAGAGATCAGATAGCCCCGTGCCTAAATATTTTGCATATCAGCTGCATAGTTTCAAGGCCAAAAAAAGAGTTGAAGTGTATTTCTCCCCTTTGCTTGGAGGATGTTAAACCTACCCACTGCAGACCATGTGAAATGTTTACAGTCACTCCAGCAATTAGCACTGACATGCATGTATTAGCAGAGAACAAGAATAACGAGGATCAGAGAAAACGATGCAATTATTCATAGTAATAATATTAATTTCAATTTGTCATCACCACAGGGGTCTGTTGCAACAAATAACCTCGAGAGTTATCTTAGCATGTGTGGCAGAGGACGTATGTGCATATGAGATCTGATTTACACAATAACCTTTTCCTGATGTGCCTTATGAAATATGGACCCTTGATCTCCCTCTCCAGCCACTCATCCTGGGGTTGTTTTAAAAAATGACATTCAGTCCCATTATTAAAAGCTGGAGAAAAAAAAAAAGAAAGACTCAGTGTTCTGCTATGGCTAGCATTACCCTCAGGCATTTCTGGCATGTTTCCGTTGTAAATTCATTTTACATGTGGCCAGGAAATACAACATCTTGTTGCATCATGTAAAGAAAATACCATATTTCTTCCCTGGTGCTCATTTCCAATCTATCGAAGCATCTGGTGGGAGCATGTCTGAAGACCTGTCTTTAAATGTAAAAGTTTTAACCCACAATGCAGTTTTATGCCAGAGTCTCATCTTGAAAGAACAAGGTTAAATCATGTTTTACTTTTCTCCCTTTTCAATAGTGAGCTTTTACTGTGCTTCTCTCTTTCAAGCATGACAATGGTTTTCTTTCCTACCAAAACCTGGCTTTGCCACTCTCACTTCTGGGCAATCTGGTTTTGGATGGAGATAAGAATTAACACTGTTTTCCAGGAAAATCCAAGCACTGTCAGTTTCCACCAAAGCCTGGCCCACAGCTTAACATGTTCAAGATTTGCTGCACCCTTAGCAAAAAAATAGTGAATACTACACAACTCATAAAAGGCCAAATACCCCAGTTCCCATAAGTCATACTGCAGGGCTTGAGATGATGGCTAGCCACAGTGTGGCATTTGATAGAGGGGCACAGATTTGTTGGGGGATATGAAGGCTCATCTTCAGTATCATAAACATGGCCTTTCCCACCTCTTGTTCATTTCTCTTCCTCCCACTCCGCACCAAGACAACATCTACTTCACCATTCCCATCATTCTCACAATGGCAACCCCTAAAAATGTCTGCTGGGCATTAGGAGGAAGGTGGAGAGCCATTTGCACAGCATAAAAATTACTTTCATTGCTCCTACTAAGCCAAAATCCAAGCCACATAGTCTTGCACACTGCTGGCACAGTGCCTGTCAACTCATTGCCCTGTGCATACGGACCTGGGGCTCTGTGCTCATCTCCCTTGACCAGCCTATTTCTATCTCCAGACCTTGCCTTCCATGAGGATCTGTCACTTGGCTAATGTGGGAAGTGAGACATGGATAAGAGAGGTTGCATTTCTCAGCCGTCAGACTGGTTCCTCTGACATAAGCCTCATGCTCATAATAGAAGCAGGAAAATCTGAGAAAATACATCTGATGTAATTAGTGTAACCTTTCTGCCAGGTGGTTAACAGCAGAGGAAAACGTCTGGATTTAATGTACCCATGGCCCCTCTTGATAAAGGACTAAATTCCAATCTCCACTTAGAAACCTGAGAAAACTAAAATATCCTCCCCGAGAGCTCTTAAAGAGATGGATTTCCACCACTCACTTGCATTCCTGGATCTTTATTAGGCAAGGGGGAGCACAGTCATAAAGACAAGCAAAACCAGCAATGGCAATATACATGCAGATAATGAGCAAAAGACCCCTCTTTTCAGACCTGCTGGCAGGGGTCCACCTCCCTCTAGTGAAAAGAGTCCCACAGGGAGAGCCCTGTGCCTCCAGCACCCCACCTGGGGTCATGATCAGTGACCAGTCCTAGCCAAGGCAGCAATGGAGGACCCCAACTTTGCTACTGGTACTATGGATAGAAGAGCCCTCAGCTTTCCTGCACAATCACCCAAAGACCCAGTGATGCTCCATACTACCCTTTGAATAAATCAGCCATGTAGTATGGAGCTGCAAGGCAGGACTTTAAGCAACAGAATGCCATCAACCCATGTCCAGTTATCAACAAACTGGTGTTGGAGTGTGGTCTACCCTCTTGCACTGCACTTACTCTTATCGCACTCTTGCCTCCTGGTACAGCCTACAGGCAGAGGTTGAGAAAGAAGCACTACTCCAGACACCTTTATGGCATGTTGTTAAAGCAGCCCAGATATGCAAGGGACAGACCACTTTCCTGTGCAACTGTGATGCTGCGTTCTTCAAGACACTGTCATACAAGTCAGGTGTCCACATCAGTATGTCCTGAGCACAGGGGTCCTTAGCTTTCCTATGAAAAGGAATAAATATGGTTTCCAGAACTGTTCTATCTGATCAGTTGTACTTGACTGGGAGGTTGCATCCTTCCAGTTCAGAGGCAAGAAGCTCACCTCTCCTGTCTGTTGGGTTGTTGCAACCTGCTCTTTGCAGTACTGTAACTCCAAACTATATGGAAGCTGCTGCTCCATGCTGACTAGTCTGTGCCCAAGGCAGTATTTACCATGAGAGGTATTTCTACATGCGCGCCATCATCTGCAACTGCTTATAAATAATTTGGGGCTGAAGATGTAAATGCTAATCTTCAATTTGAAAGGCCTAGATAATTTAACTCATTTAGTCAACCTTAGGAGACAGACAGCATTTCAATTACAAAATCTATTGCTCTCCCCCTCCATTCCGCCTTACTGGGCATGTTTGGAGATTACTGAATTACCCAAGGGCTGGGTACTCATTCAGTTAGCTTTAGGCTGGATTCTTTGCCACATACAACTAAGTTCGAAACTAAGCATTAATCTTAGCGATGAAGCTGTGGAGTTTTGGGGGAAGGTGTATGTGGAAAATGCTAAGTGTGGGAGGTTTGGATGTTTTCCAGGTTTTGCATATTACAGCCTTTTGCCTAATTTATACTTTTTGCCCATCCTGAACCTAGAAATGTAATTAGAAAACCTAAGAGAATCCTTTTGAGGAGGCCCTTTAAACCTACCTTTTCCAGAAGAAAAGGGAGCTGCTTTCTCCTGTTGTGAAATCGCCCATTAAAACAACTCATGGCCTTGACTCCAGAGCAAGAAGCAACAGGCAGGAGTAAGGACTGAAGAAGGAGACTACATGGAAAAGACAGTCCAGACAGCAGCAAAGAAGCAACATGAATTGTCCGTGGGCATTATTCAGGCAGATTCGTTCTTCTCTGCCTCCATCACATGTGGCTGATGCCCAGGGGAAGCCGTGTTGACTGGTCAGTGTCACAGCAGAGCGGTGACAAGCATTACTCAGTGTTTGGATAACACATCCAGCCATTCACCTAGCTGTCCAAACACATCGTGTGACGTGGACAGAGGTAAGAGACTCTGGACAGTTTCAGTGAGGAACAGGACTCATCTTCCCCATCCATCCTGAAATGTTCCATCTTAGTTCTGTTCTTTTTTCTTCTTTCCTGTTTCCCCCCCCTCCCTTTTACCAGAGGGTCCCCAACCAAATGGATACAAGTTACCTGTACCATGTAGCTGTTCCCTGCTGAGCAACCGTCAGTTGGCCCCAGACGGTGGGGTGACTTGGCAGCTGTAGTTATGGTGATGTCTCTGCCGTAGGGTTTGCACAATGCCCTGGGAACTCCTGGAATGGACAGGAATGATGTACACAGATATTCCTGGGCTCATTACACATTGCAGGAAGAACCTGGATCACAGCAGTCCTATTAATTTCTTTCATTCATCTCTGCTGAAGTCAACAGATGAGAACAATTTTACAGACTTGGATCATACAGAATATATAACTACCTGTATTCTGGCTAGCTGTAGCAATTCAATGATAAGTATGACTCCCTGGCGAGCAAACAGGATATCACAGGCTTATTTTATCTTCCAAATAGATCAGAGTTGAATCTTTTTCTGGGTTTCCATATTTTCTCTGAACAGGTCAGGTTTTTACTTGAGGAATGCATTGTTACAGTTCTCAGGCTCACAATCACAATGGGAACACCTCCAAATCTTCTGATGTTTAAAGTAAATTTGTTGCAACCTGCAATTTGGTTCCATTTACTAATGAACAACTTCATTTTCATATATAGATACAGTTTAGGTTTATGTATTCAGACTGTATTCCATATATGCAGATCTGGGAACCTTGAATCAATACGTATCCCTTCATGACTACTTTAAGGGGATTTAAATTAATTAACCTTTATAGGCAATAGTGGTCTTTCCTGTGGTATTCCTGTTGGTGCACCATTATCTGAAGTACTGAAGTTATACCCTTTGCTTCAAGTATACTATTTTCAATAACAATATAAGCTTTGTTAAAGATGATGAAAAATGCTTATAATAGAGCACTTTTGCATGGTTTTAAATGGTGAGATTCTAGCATTTTTTAAAGTTTCAACAATCATTTACAAATGCTGAAGGTTTCATCTGACAGCTGGTTGAAAAACATGGAAAATACTGAAATGAGCTCAAGAGTCAGATTATTTTGGCTACTATGAGTATTTCTCTAGGCCTTAAAAATGAGGCAGTGGGATGAAACGAATTCTGATCTTAACATTAGACTAGTAGGCAGAGTATAATACATGTGTTGTGTTTTCCAGTGTATTTTGGCACTTACACTCATTATACAAGATATATATATGTGTGTATGTGTGTATATATATATATATATATATACACACACACACAGATCCCCCTTTCCTTCACTTTCATGTTCAGATGGTTTAGGCATGTACTCTGTCCCTGTTCACTTATTTCACTAGCAGTGTGCTCAGTTCTGTGTTTCTCTCTATCCACACTAGATACATGAAAATTAAGCCTCTCATCACTGTTGCAAAGTAGGTATATTTATAAGTTTCCTAGTGAAGTGAGCTCATTCCTTGCTGGTTAGCAGGGCTGAGAGCAACACCCAGAAGCGTTATCTTCCTGAACTATGTACTCATCATCAGAGCGCGTAATCTCTCCAACATCTCATTTTGTCACACAGAACTCCTTTAGATTTTCATATCCTGCTCATCATCCTGAAACAGAAGGAAAGACATCTGAACCACCTCAGGTCTAAATGAGGTTGCTCAGAACCTCCCAGGATTCAGCCCAGTTTTGTCAAAGGAGACACAAGCGCAGTGATCATCAGATGGGTGAACCCCAAGGGAGGACCACAGGATTGCTGTTAAGATACTTTGATGAGATGGGCACAAAGTTATCAGCATCTCAGGTCTTCTCTGAACATCACAGAGAGAAAAACAGAGTTTTAAATGAAAAAAAAGAAAACCCTTTAACATTAATCTTTCAAAAGCTGCAGTCCATCTGGATGCCTTCTTCCTTGGGATTAATTACAAAGACTAGCCCTGTAATCCATAAGTGAAATATGAGTGATATGTAAACTTGCTGCAGTTGTGTTTAATATTTTGCTTGCTAACAGGGCATCTAATCCACCTTGAGCAGGGATTCATCAAGCCTCAGGGGCTACCTAAAACACACAATCCCTCTAAATAAGCAGTAATCTCCTCCATTGAATCTTCACTTTCATGAGCTAATAAATGATGCTAAAGGCTCATTTGCTTTGGGATCTCCCAGCGGTGGAGAGCACGACACTGTACCCATCTCCTGGCATAGCAGTGAGCAGAGCCCCGAGGTGGCTGCGGGCAATGAGGCAAATTCCTGGCATTTCTTTCCTGTGGCAAAAAGCCCTTCATCCTTGGTGCACCGGTGCTCTGCCAGAATAAGCACCAGCCTAAAAACATCCCACAATGGTCTTGAGCAGCGAGATCAATAATGATTTCCACAAACTCCACTCTTTTACATAACGCCTCCCTCCCAGCTCCCCATGGGATAAACAGCGGGACACAGGCTGACATTCTGCAGATGCGGCCAGTTCCGGCAGCGGCAGCAGGAGGAGAAGGAGGCAGAGGCGACTGAAATTCATTACTTGGAGAGGTCGCTGGGGTCAGGGACAGTGGCGCTGAATGGATTTTTCCAGCCATTTTGAGCTGAGATTTGCACTCTGTAATCTGAATGCTTTTATCTATTTCTGAAAATAGACAGGAATTTTTTCCACAGGCTGCTCCAATCTGGCCACGGAGATGCAGGGAAGGATTACAGGGATAAATTCAGGTTTTGTTAAGCAAGCGTAGCTTTTCCAAACCAAACATAGACAGCTTTCTCACAGCATAAACACGCGTACAAGAGCTCTGTTGTCGGAAAGACACATCCCCTTGTGCAAGAGATGAGAGCTAGGTGCCATGCACAGGCCCTGGAGCCCTTAACTCCTGGTTTGTGCATTGTTTGCCTCTCCAGTCCAGCTGTGCCAGCAGTCTCAAAGCTGCAGGGAATGATCTAGAATCTGTTTCCCACTGAACAGACAAGCACTAGGTTACTCAGTGATTATTTTCTGTTTCACTCACATTTTTCTGTAGTTGAGCTTCCTCTTGCTTAGTCATGTCCTCTTCTGGCAGAGGTTTCGCTGAAAAAGAGAGCTGATTCTAGAAATTAGCTTGGACAGAAACTGTTGGGTGGGTGTATTACAGTACTTTCATGGATGAGGAGCTGATAAGAAGCCAGCTTTGTTTACTAGCTTTTTTCTATCTGAAGCAGAAAATATGATGCCGGGGCTTGATTTTGGTGTTACTAAAATGTTTTGAGCTGGAAACTAAAGGGTGGGTTTGGGTGTTCATGTGCCAGTGTCTTGGAGTAGAACACAGGACCTGCAATTTCACAGCATCAACTGTGCTCACGAGGCTTTACGATTTTCCTGGTGTCCCTCAAAACCATCAGCCCTGTCTCCAAGCAGCTCACCTGCCCACCCCCGAGTTGTATGGTCTAGTAATGAACCAGACACTATTTTCATCTACCTGTACTTTGGCACCCCCACTTTATACACAAAACAGTTATTATGAAGCATAGATATACCCTTTTGGGTGGAAAAAGTTAGGTACCAAGATGTAACCCTGTCCTTCCAGCCTGCAGACCGGGACAGACTGCTGATAGCGGGCAAATATCTGTGCAAAGGTAAGTACTGGGTGCTTAGCATCCTGCCAGGAGGTGGCTCTGCCTAGCCATGCCCAGGTGGGAACAGAGCTACCAAGTAAACACTCCAGAGCGGTAGTTCCAGGGAAAAGTAAGGGAAAGAAACAGGTAACTTGATTAAGCATTGTCATTATTAATGACAATAACCCTTTGTGGGGGGGAGGTATCAATCTGGATGGAAAACAGTATATGTGACCGGGGCCACATTGGGACAGGTTGGAAAGCCATGCCAAGGGCTGAGCTGCTGAAGCATCCTGACAGCTCTGAAAGATGGTGATGGGGAGTGACCTTCCCTTGGGAGCCTCCTCAGATGAAGATCCAGAAGGTAGAGAAGGTCCCTTAGGAGGCAGCCAGATTCACTGAGCTTCAGCTGTTTGACAGAGGTTTAGATTAGCCCTTTTCAGTGCAATGCGGCACATCCATCAAAGCAAAAAAACCCTCAAATGAGTGCAGAAACCCATTGGCATTCTCCCGTGCTCAGCAGTCTTCCACTGCCATCCTGTCTGTGCATCCTGCCATTTGCCTGAGAGCAGAGCACAGTTTCATTTCAAGCCAACAGCAGGCACTGCCGTGAGGGATGGCCAAACGCCTTCAGATGCCACTGTTCTCTGGCACAGAAGGGACATCAACCATTTCCCCTTTGCCAGCTAATGCTGACAGTAAAATTAGTTGAATCCATAATTTGGAAATTAAGTTTCTATGATTTGCCAAACCAGTCAGACTAGAGCTTTAAATATCAGCTTCTCACAGACAAGGGAAGAGACTAAAAACAAACCCTAAGGAAGCATACAAAGGAATGTGCTTGTGGGGCAGGATGTCTATGCCAAGGATGTAAGACTCTGCTTGGGCTCAGAGGGCTCTCCACACTTGCCCCAGTGGTCCCACCAGGTAGAGATCCCTGTGCACCAGCCTTCCCACACCAGTGGTAGATGGGCTCTGTGCTATCAGACCTTCAGCCAACTCTTCTGCTCTGGCCCTGCCTTCCCAGTAAACAAATAATGGCAGACTTCTGTTCAGCCTTGTCTATTTTAGGATCTCTTGCAGTCCTACCGATAATCACTGTTATAAATGTTTACACTGATAGGAGACTGGCCCATATTGTACAGAGATAATAACAGTACAATTTGATATTCATGAGGTGCTGATGATCTCTAAATATAGAAATAGAGTAATTATTGCTGGCATTACAGGCTGGGTTTCAAAAAGCAGATAAATGGAGAAATGGATATGCTATTTATTGCAGCTTCAACAGTAACAACAGGAAAGCTGTCTCCCTTGATTAGGCAAGGACCAGACTGCAGAAGGCAGAGCTCATGGCAAAGGGGTGAAGGACTATGACACCCTACCACTGGAAGAGAAAAGCACAGCTTGTAGAAAAAACACTCTGAAAATGCACTTAAT